GAAAGAGAGCCTGAGTTCATTTGGGTCCTTTTTGTCAAAATGCAAGGATGAATTCACACATATAACGTTCAGTAGTGGCCATCTTAAGTGACATCTTCAGTGTGGGAAACTGCCTGGACTGAGGAAATACCACAAAAAAGACTTTAAAATATAATACTTTAAAATGATGGCATTCAAATATGTTATGGTGCACTATACACTTTCATGGCCCTACCATACTGGCAGCCAGTTTATACAAACACAGTATTGCTGCTCCACTGGTGTTTGGTTTTGGGGGAGGGGAGGGCAGGGACATGAATCTCAAAATCCTTGGGTGCTCAAGTATCATTATATATGATGGCATAGTAAAAAAAGGTGTCCCTTATATAAAATGGCAAAATCAAGGTTTGCCTTTTGGAATGTCTTTTAAAAATATTTTCAAGCTGTGGGTGGTTGAATCAATGGATGCAGAATCTGTGGATATGGAGGTCCAGCTGTATTACCTGCTTGAAGTGGTAAAATTCCAGGTGTGGCATGACTTTTGCAGGGGATATGTGTTGCATGTAAAAGAGCCAATAAAGTATAACAGTTTGTTTGTTGGATTACACCTCTGTAGACCAGAATTTGATTCCCTACTTGGCCATGGAAACCTACTGGGTGACCTTGTGCAAATCATATACTCTTAGCCTCAGAGGAAGGCCAAGACAAAGCCCCTCTGAATTCCTGCCAAGCAAAGCCTTTCATAGGTTCATTTTGGGAGTAACCTAAGTTGGAGACAACTTAAAGGCACATAACAACAATAACAACATTTGTGAGCTTCTGTAGAACCTAGCACCCTGAAATCTGCATGAGTAGGCTTCCCTGGCTAAGATGTCCACATAGCACTCAATGGATGGATGTCAGGAGTGGGCCAAGGGAACCCACACAACATTAAGGTGGGATCAGTGGTGTAGCTTACTGTCTCTTTCTCCACATGAGTCCTCTTCACATGCATGACACATGAAGAGGGTTATACAATCATGATCCCATGCTGTTTTATGATGGTGTGGAATATGGAAGGAGAATATTTGTGGCAGTATATGATGATTTTCCTCTCAAGGTTCCATTGGGAATATTTTGACTTGGACTACCTCTTTTGTTGGTGTAATGGCTGGCCAGTTTAGGTACCAAGAGCTACAAGTAAGGGAGTTTCAGATTCAGACCAGAGCTCAGCCTTTTCTGACATGCCCCCATTTTTTGCAGCCCTTCAGATCAAACAGTGGTCCAGGATATGCCAGCATAATGTTTTGCTTGTTGAAGGTACACCATGTGGGGTCCCAAGCGGTGGTGGGGTTTCCATGATCCTACCAGTACAGCAGATTTACTGCAAAATCCTAAATCATCCCAGTCAGTATAAACAGAGCATAGGACTGTGCTCTGGGGAATATGCATACATTTGTGTGAATTGTCCACAAATCAGTTTCAGCTATAATATTATTTTGTATAATGATAACCTAAGTGAATGAGAGGGCAGTATCTTTCAAAAATATTTTTAAAAATCAAAAATCTTTTCCTATAGGAGTTTAAGCATAAAGAATATCTTGGTAATTGATGTATAACTTAACAAGAAATTCATATTCCAATAATAATGCAACACAAAACTGCTATTCTTATCATCAGAAATGTAATGTGTCAGCACATGAATCAAATCAGTACTTCCCACAGCATTTTCCAAGTGTTTCATTTTATTGGATGCTAGACCTCTATATAGATAGATAGAGGTCTATCTATCTATCTATCTATCTATCTATCTATCTATCTATCATCTATCTATCGAGATAGACAGATAGATGGATAGAGTACACCTGAGATTTGTTCCCCTATGTCTGCCCCCACCTTATTTCTCCTCTGACTTAGAGAACTCTTAAAATGTAATACATTAACTATGTTTCCTGTAGGGATATTTGAATTTTTGCCTCATTGTGTGTTTTTACATTGTGCCTATGTGTGTGTGTGTGTGTGTGTGCATGTGTGCATGTGTGCATGTGTACAGAGCTTTGTAGCACAATCCTTTATGAGTCTTGGGGAGAAAAACAGTATATAGATGTTCAAAATGAATATGAGTGCTCTGATCAGAGAGCAAGGCATTTCCTTTAGCGCTCCCTTGGATGTACAAGTAGTGGCAAACTTATATTCATGTCTGTGTGCAAAATGTTTTCAGTTTTTAGAGAGAAGATAGGCATACCTTTGCCTTTCTTGTCCCACCTGTCTGGGCTATGAGGCTATTCTCTTTGAAGGACTGAAATGGTTCTTTCTTTGAATCAAGCCTAGACAACCATATTGTCCTTTCCCCCAAGGGTTATGCTGACTTTCTAAATGACAAGACTCTTTTCATGGTTCCACAGTGGCTCTAAGATGCTGCAGCCACTCGTCTTACTCCATTTGGCCCTCTGGAGACCTTAGCAAGAGTATTGTCCTGAAATGGGCAGCTTTGTGGTTTGTTTCAAAAAGTCAAGTACTCTTGTGTCCCTAAGAAAGGCATTAAAGGGGATTTAAACTTTTTATAGACATATAGGATTAGGTGGCTCTCTAGTTCAATGTCAGATCTTTCTCTCTTGAAGCAGTTCAGTCTCAATCAAACAGCTGGGGATTTGCTAGTAAGAGTTTGCTTCAAACAATTCCCATGCTCTTGTTCTCTTGTATGTCGTCAATTTTTATCACTGGATGTTGGTTGTGAGTTTAGAAGGAAATCATGCCAGTAGTTTGTGTTGTATTGAGCCCAGTGCTTTCCAGATGAAGGAAGCATCTTGCATTTATTATCAGCTCGAGAACCAACAAAAATGTAGGTTACATATTTTTGCTCAGTTCTGGATTTAGCTGATAGTCTTGAACAAATTATTCTCATTTTTTTTGTTTTGTCTTCTGTTAAAATGGAAATGCTAACATTTGATAGTGATATGTCAATTGCAAATGTATGGGTTTAGGACCCCAAAATTCTACACTAATCTAATGGGTAGGTAGAGCTCTTATCCATCTCAGGCCTAGGGAATCTTGCTTGCATGCGATCTATGTGTGTCTTCAGTGAATACCAAAGGTACTGTAAAGCATATAGGAATGTCGCCATGAAATCAGATGGACTTCACTCTTAAGGCTGAATCTGCTTCTGCAGAAATAATGCAGTGTGACACCACTTTACCATACGCCAATGTTACAGAATTCTGGGATTTGTAGTTTTGTGAGATAGTGAGCCTTCTCTAGCAGAGAACATTGGTGTCACAACAAACTACAAATTCCAGGATTCCATAGGATGGAGCCATGACAGTTTCAATTGCATCAAATGGCATTATTTCTGCAGCGCAGATTCAGCCTAAGTAAACCCATGATGCCCAAGAAGTAAAAGTGCTCTGAAGGTGTGAATGAAGAATTAAGCCCATAATGGTAAAATGTTCATGTGTTAACTAAAAAAAAAATCCTTACATTTCTATTTTAGGTATTCTAGAGATAACAGCAGTGGATGTCGGGATTGTTGCTATCAAAGGCTGTTTCTCCGGCAGATACCTGGCCATGAACAAAAGAGGCAGACTTTATGCTTCAGTAAGTGCTATTTAAAAACAGAAGCATTTTAACTATGGTAAGGAGGCTGAAGCATCCCCTGTGGGAGTTCCAGTCATTTTCAATGGGGATTTAAAGGCCATTGTAATCAAAAGGGGAGAAATTATAGAAGAATCATTTATAGAGAACAAAAATAGGCTTTTTGGTTTTATTTGGGGGATTAAGCAGCCAGTACTTGGAGGCCTCTCACTGGAACATGATGGCAAGTGCTAGGCACACTTGTTTTTCTGTTATGTACACAGTTTATAAAGCAAACCAAATAATCTCTGGTTTGCACATTTTTTTAAAAAAAGACAGTGGAGAACATGGCAAAGATGAACATTTAAAATTCCCTATATTTCCATATCAGATATCAGTTTAGATTGTGAATCAGTATAAAGAAGTGAGGAAATCTACAATTCACAATATGATTAGGAAGCTTTTCAGAACAAAAATCTCCCAGGGATGTCAATAGGAGTCCATTTGTACAATGTAATGAATGGGCTCTCAGTGTGCATCAAGTAATTTGAGATGTAATGCCAGAGGTACAGCATCAAAGCTACTAATGCTCTGAAAGCCTGTGATAAATTGAATCAAGTTTTATTCCACTTTTTTTGGTAATAAATACTTTTATACTTTGATATGGCTTCATGGTATGTATATTATGATACTGTGTTCCAAATCCAAAGCACTACATATTTGAGGGAGATATTGTATTGCTAATACAATTGAAGGTGAAATGGGGTTGAAATATACCTTTTCTATAGTGCACACAATTTAATAGAATCCATTGCAGAAGTGGGATACATGTATTAAATAAATAAATGCTTGCAGGTTAGTAGCAGGCAAAACTGGAAAATATAGCAGAAGCTTTCATATCTAGCAACAAGGGGGGGGGGGTGGAATCCATTCTCCGAGTAGGGTTTAAAACATGTGGCTCATGGCTGAATTCTGTGTAGCAATAAATCCAGCCATTTGAATCAACTAGAATTTATTGAGAACACACAGCCAGTAATTCACCAGTCAGCGTTTAAGCCA